GTGCCATCCCTGCTTCCAAAGCCAGGATCTGAGTCTCCCACCCAGAGAGGCTCCTTCCCCACCTTGCAGAGACTGTGCTCTGGCTGCTACAAAATCTCAGGATGCACTCATCTGCAGTAAAAGTGCATCCCCGCCCCACCTCATGAATGACCGAGCTGACTCCCCAGGGGAACTGAGCGCTCTGCTGCATTCTCCAGGGTACAACTCAGTCTTCCTCAGGGCCCGTTCCATACTTGGGCACGACAGGGACACACCGCTCATAAGCGGAGTGCTCAAGGTCTTTCAGGACTGACATGCCCTCAGTCAGGGCTCAGATTTGAGCTGCCACGTTAGGTCACTAGGGCTGGAGGGAAAGGATCCAGCAGAGCTCGAGAGCCCTAAGGGCTCTGTCCACAAAGCTCTTGGCTGGGAGCTAACTTGACCTACTCCTGGGTACAGATGCTCGACTTGAGCCAGAAGGAGGCAGGAGAAGTTGTCTGAGCAGGAAAATGAATCCTGGGCTGGCTGTTTCAGGCCCTGACTATGCTTCATATTCCTGATTCTGACTGACAGTCTCTCGGTAGGCCCTGCCAGCTGCCCACAACAGCTGTCAGTCCTACGGCCAGCCAGAGCAGTGTTGGGCTGTTCTGTGGCTGGCCAAAGTGGAGACGGGGTGTGTTGCTTCTCTGCTGCTCATGGGTGTTCCTGCAGCTCAGCTCCCCCTCTGCAGCCTTGGTTCTACTCTGTCAGCAGCAATCGTTGTGTGGTTTCCCGGCCTTCCTCTTGCAGCCAGCTGGGCCTGCATGACTCTACCAGAGGCAGGAATGGACTCTGAGTTGGCGCCTTCCTTCCAGGGGCTCAGCACAACAGCGCAAGGGGACCCTGCAGGCACTAACAGCAGCCGCACTCAGCCCCACAACTCTGGTGCCAGCCGTTCCTTCCTGGGTCCTTCCATTGACACCTCTGGCCAAGGCACAACATGGGCAAGATAATGGGAACCACAATGAGACCTTGGCTGTGGGAAGAGCAGTACCATTGTGATGTCCTTGAATATGCTTCCCCTAGGAAGGGGCATGGAAGGGACAGTCTCTCACACAGGAGCCTGGACTACAGAGGCAGATACTACTGATATTGGGGTTGCAGGTAATGAGGGATCCTGAACCGAACCCAACCCAAGTGCTCCAGAGCCCACCCAGCTTCTGTTACCCAAGGGGACAGGAATCCTCACCCAGCCAGCTCATAGCCTCATAGTTCTCCTGCATCACATCCCTGTAGAGGGCTCTCTGGCCTGAATCCAGCAGAGCCCATTCCTCCTCAGAGAAATGCACAGCCACCTCCTCAAAGGTCACCGGCTCTGCCACGGCCATTTCCTGTCCCTGGCTCTGCAGGCCAGGGGCTGAGCTGGAGACAGACATGGGTGTTCTGCAGCCTAGTAAGGGGAGAAGGACAAATAAAGATATTTTTAAAAGGGCTTTAATCCTTTCCACACCCCAATTCTGCCCAGACTCTGTCCCCAGTGAAAAACATGCTGGACTCTGCCTTTTTGGGCAAATGCTGAGTCTAGATATTCCATAAAAGTCACAGAGAAGTTAGATCCCACAGCCATATTTATTTCTCTCAGTGCATGGCTTGAATTACATTACTATGCATGCAATAATGGGATTCAGTTCTCAGCACCCAGTGTTTCTGTTAACAAGCCACATATTCATCTGCCTGAACATGGACATAGGTTAAATTAAATTTAGACTGCAGTATTTATAATCTTTAGTCTTCGTTGATTGATTTGCAGCACAAACTTTGGTTCTCTCATCTGACAGAGACTTTATAAACCCTTTCCACAACAGAGAATCAGTGAAGTTATTACAAGTTTTCAGATGCATATTATTAAACAAGTGCGCTGAGTGTTTGCAGGATGAGATCTTAAAATTTGTGGGTTCATGGGATCAGAAGATATCCTCAGTCATACAGTCTGTCCCCCTCTGTGGCACGAGCCATTACACTTAGCCCAGCTACCCAGGCACAAAGCTCTGTTTCCCCAAAGCATGTTTTCCAGAAAGTTGACTAGTGTTGATCTGAAGACATTAAGAGATGGAGAATCCACCAGTTCTTTGCTTATTAGTTTCAGCAGCGAATCCTCTTCCATACAAAATATTTGTGCCTCCTTTCTAGCCTGAAATTCTCCGGCTGCAACTTCCACTTATTGACTCTCGCTGAGCTGTGTGTGCCGTGGTCACTGGGTTTAGTTGGTAATTTTAATGACAATCCCATGAAAATCTTTTCACTGGAATATTCTCATTTAAATAATCTGCACTTCTAAACTCACCCTGTCTGAAAGCTCCCAGGGATTTTCCTCTTGCTCTCTCCAGTGCAGGGGGCAGAGTGTCTAGTGGGGGAAGGGATAAGAGAGGTGAGATTCCAGGCTCTCCTATTTATAACAATGTCCCCACTCGGAACTCTGCATTTCAATTGTATCAGAGACCAGACAGACACACACACAGGTGTTTACTATGAAAAGATCTGAAACACTCTGTGTCCTCTCTCATTTGGGCACCTCCCAGCAATGGAGCCAACATCCCTACAGCCTCACACCCATCCCAGGAGAGATAAGCTATAAGTGAGATTTACTTTTCCCTCCTCATCCCTTCCTACCTGGTTGCTCTCAGTCACTTACTGCCTCTTGTTATAAACTAGAGCTAGGGAAGACACTGCCATGACATTAACTTTACCTACTGTGATCCCTTTGACACTAACGGGAGCTTCAGAGTTTGCAAACCCCTGGCTCTATTTGCAAGCAGTTGGGTCTGTTTGCTCAATGTCTCCAAAGAGAGCAGCATGATGGGGCCGTCATTCTCCATGTGGGAATTGAGGCAGGGGATGGTTGGCTTCAGAGGCCAGATTCAATAGTTTGATATTTAAATTACTTTCCCCTACTCTATCCCTTCTAGATACCTTTGAATTCCCTCAGAGACTCTGACAGCGCAATCATTTTCTGGGAGAAACTGCTGACTTGTTCTTCCAGTTCAGGGGAAATCTCCTCTGGCAGCTGGAACTGCCCCATCTCACACCTGCACAGAAACAATTCCATGTGATTCTATTTCATTTACAGATGATAAGATCTGGCTAGTGAGTCTCAGCTCTAACAGGCCTGGAGTTAGAATCCTCCAATTCCCCCAGCCTGAGAGCAGAAGCAACACAGCCCATGGCTGTGCAACCTTCCCCTGAAAGGCCCCATTGCTGTTCTTCACCTCTGGCCCGGAGAGACCAGCTGGGGACAAAAGTGGAATTGAGTCTCGATAGCCAATCCTTCACTCCTTGGCCTCTAGGTGCTGAGGGACTGGAGGTTCCTAGGTGAAGGGCTACAGGAATCTGCCCACTAGGAAACAGACTGAGACACCAGCTTCCTCCTTCCCCATACATCTCCAAACAGCCCTCAGGTAGGACAGACTCTGGGTCCCTGTTGCCCTGCCCTAAATGTGCCCAGTGCCCAGCAGTGACAGACCCATATTCCAACCCCACAGTCCTGAGGCAACCAGTCCCCAGGGAGGTGACAGCTCTAGGAAATATCTGAAGTCAGACTGTGCCCCTGAATGGGGAATTCCAGAGTCTGCTGTGCAAGGGTGAGACCCTCAGAATTAAGTGAGTCAGAGACATTTCTATCCAACATCTGGCTGTAGAGCCCTGGGGAGATGTGGTGCCAGCATCAGCTCCAAGCCCTTTCCCTGCGCTGTGCAGTGAGAGGGCAGAGAGAGAGAATTCCACGTACCTGCTGCTCTTTCCCAGCGCTGTGCAGTATGACAGGAGTGCGAGCCACCTACCTGCTCAAGCTGTTTCTTACATCCTAGAGAAAAGAGACAGAAAAGAATCTCAGCTGCACTGGACACACACAGCAAAGGCATTTTGCAAATATGGGGAAAAGACGCCCTGACCTGGCCCCAGGGCCATAGATTCCGTGAGCTCATGGGGCTTTGCCATCTCTAATAGGTCTGTGCCTTCACTCTGCAAAGCACAACAGTCACTCGCATGGCAGCAATGCACATGCCGAGTTACACCCAGATCTGATGGCTGGACCCCAGCGCTTGTTATTCAGGAGACTCTCGTCCTTGTATGGGGAGCTGGGATGTTTCTCCCTCAGTCTCACCTGCAGGAATTCACTCACTGGCTTCTGACACGTCCCCTCCAGCTCACTGATCCGCTCGCTGAGACGGGAAATCTGCGCAGAGAGTTTCCTGACAGTGTCAGTCTGGAGCCTTCCAATCTCCTTGTCCAGCTTCTCCAGCTGGGCCAGCAGGAGTCGCTCTTGTTCCTCCAGGAACTGCTGCAGCTGCTGAAACTCGGCCAAAATCTTCTGCCTCTTGGCTTGTGTCTGTTTCTGTGTGAAAACAGGGAAAGGGCTGATCAAGGGACATGGATGGAGCCCAGAGCCCTTTCATGGGGAGATAAGTGCACAGCAAGGACAACTTCTTGGAAAACCCTAAAATGTATGACATTGGACTGTATTCTGTGGGTATTAGGCAGAGGTGTCTCTCTCAGCATCTCCTTTGGCCCATATCCCTCTGAAAGGGATGGCCCCATGTCTGCCATGAGCAGCATCTTCTGTTATTTATGGGCACTAGAGATCCAGACCCAGAGCACCAGGAGGCAGGTCTCAGCAGCAACCTGACACAGATATCCAGGGAGGAAAAAGAAATGAAGTGAGTAGACTCAGCAGATAGTCCTTCACAGGGGCATTCAATTCCCTTGGGGAGGATTTCTGGGAAAGTCACAAGAACTGGACATTAACTCATCCTCTGACATGGAAGCTCAGGGCTTGTCTACGCATCAATTTAATCCAGCAATCCATGATCCAGGAGAAACAAACAAGCCCAAACTCACAAAGGAAAAGTCAGTGGACGTAATATACCTTGACTTTAACAAAGCTTTTGATCCAGTCTTCCACAATATTCTTGCCAGCAAGTTAAGGGAGTATGGATGGAATAAACGGACTGCAAGGCAGACAGAAAGCTGGCTAGACTATCAGGCCCAACGGGTAGTGCTCAACGGCTCGATGTCAGGTTGGCAGTCAGTTTCTAGCAGAGTGCTCCAAAGATAGGTTCTAGGGTCGGTTTTGTTCAACAT